CAAGCTTAATCAAATGTGCATTCCACCTCATTTCCTATTAGAGGCACAATTCCAGAGGCAAACATATTTTCTGATGCTCACTTTATCAGTCAAAAGCCAAGAGATGTGAGGATAATGTGAGAGGACCTTTTTGCAAAGATATGGACAGGACCACATCTTTGGTAGAAGTACCGACCAGGAGGGCCTTATCCCAGGGCTCTTAAGGCAGGCGCTGTTACTATGCTGAGGCCCAGAATCCCCCGGGAGAGAGATTGTGGAGAACAGGTGTCCTTGAAAAGAGTAGTAACCTTCCATCAAGGGACCCAGCCAGCTTGACTCAACCATATGACATCACCCTTGTCCAACTGTGCTCTCACTGGTCACACCCAACCGGAGGGCACGATCACCTGATGATGTCCCCACAGGCTGGCCTCCGGGACAGACAGCCGGTGGGGAAAGGTGCAGAGTGCATCTGAGGGCCACATAGAGGCACCTGGTGAAGCCGTCTGTTTTGAACACTATTGAAGATGAAATGCTAGACCCAGGAATTACTTTCGACAGTTCCTTGGAGGTTACTGTCATTGGGCCTAACCCAAAGAGCTGTAATCTCAGTTTACAGCAACAATATACCCTGGAAAGTTTTTTCAGAAGCTAATCTTGATACATCTGCCTAGAAACTATGGGCCAAGGGCCAAGGAGCACATGAGCAGGTCCTTGTGTGTGGACCCTGCAGCATGGTCAGCGGACAGCAGACTCCCCGGCACCGCATATCCAAGCGTAAACCCTGTCTCTCCCCATTATGTCTCTCCCAATGATGTTTGGAGTTCTGGCAACTTACAGAAGCAGCTAAGCCTCAGTTTCCCAATCTGCAAAGTGGAGTAACAGTGGGACCCATTTTGCTGGATTGTTGGGAACTGCTTAACAGACGGCCTCGCCTACAGTGGGCGCTTGAGATATTGGTTTCTTTCTTATGTTGTCCCCAAATGAGGGACACTCAGAGTCAGTTTAGACAATGCCCCACCCTTAAGTAAGCACCAACTATATGCCAGGCACTGTGTGAGACACTTTATAGTCATTACTTTGAAACGTCATAATAACCCTTCAGATAAATACTGTTCCCAATATATGGATAAAGAAATAGGCCTGGCTGGCAGCATGGAGGGGTGAGGTTGGCGTGCGTGTGTCTCATTTCTCGGGCTGTGTCCTTCAGTGCACCCACCACTCAGTCCCTTCCAGAGGCATCTGGAATGGCATTAGTGGATTTGCAACGTTTTCCTCCTTCTGGCAGGTGGCAACAGGGTTTGGTCTTTAATCATAGCACAAGCAAATCTGTTTTTCCACCGATTTTCACTTTATTAAACTGGAGACTGTTTCTAGGGGGAAATGTCTCTCCTCGCTGTCATGACATCATACATGGGCAGACAGTCTCCTCAAAGTTCAACACAGGACTCATAGTTTTGTTGGCTCCGGCTCTAGATGTGACAGGATAATGTAGCGCCTGGCCCAGGGCTGTGCCTGCCTTACATTTCATAAGTGTTTGTGTAATGAAGGGACCTCGGACTGCTCACGTACTGCCCTGTTATCCTGGGTCAGGCTCGCACACCGGGCTCTGTTCCTGTGACCCTCGTAGTGGCCAGTGGGGCTGGTGACTTTTAGAAGCACAGATGAGTGTGGGGTGAAGGAGCTAAAGGCAGAGAAGCAGCCTCAAATGAGCCGGCAGGCAGGGTTCGGCCACAGGTAAGTGGATAAGAAGCCCATGAAACCCAGAAAATGAGCCGGGTGGTGTGGGGCCCCTGGAGGGACCAGAGGGCCCTGCAGGACAGGCTGTTCCACCTGGTGCTGCTTCTGGTCAGGGCCTAGACTTCCCGCAAACCCTCCTGTCTTGCTTTGCATTCCCACATGACACTAGGAACACACGTATCCAAGAGAGCACCGACCTCAGGAGATGGCAATTGATTTTGCCCAAACCTTTAAAAACATTTCCTTTAGATGTTATAAACCCCCATCCACCAGCCACCAACACTCAAGAATATCCTCTTGAAAATGAACTATAGAGGAAACGGAAGTATGGACAAAAAAATGGCCACATACTAAAGTTAACAAGCTCAGGGGAGGCCTGCATGGCGGGCCTTACGCACTCAGAGACCAAAGAAACCATATAGAATGGTCTGAACATAAAAATCCATAACTAAAAAGGAGTCATGTCCTAGGCCTGTAGCTTCCTGGACAAAGGAAAGTCCTTACCTCAAGTGAGCCTGTCTGTTATCTCTTTGCATCTAAAATATTGTAGCCATGAAATGTCAGAGTCATCTTCAGACCCCCCGGGGCAACCCAATGCACCAGAGCACAAGACCACAGAATCTTTCATTGTTATCTTGTTCCCTGAATACCTTTGTGCTGTGACTGTTAACTCTCCTGTACCTACCAATGTCAAAGAAGTGTCTCTCTATTTTATTTTTTATCTAATCCCAGAGGTTTCCCCACTTTGCTTTCTCTCGCCCCCTTAATCAACCACTAATGGATTTCATGTAACCCTCCTTACATATCCTCTTTTGATTTTTATGTCTAAAACTAAAGGCCCGATGCATGAAAATTCATGCAAGAGTAGGCTTTCCTTCTCCAGTCTGTTGGCACCGGCTTTCCTCCAGCACTCGGAACCTGGGCTGGCTTCCCTCGGGCCGCCCACAGGCACCCAGGACCCAAGCTGGCTTCCCCCTGGCCCTGGCTTGTCAGGAAGGACGTCTGTAATGACGTCCGGAAGACATCGGGTCTAATCAGCATATTGCCCTTTTATTATTATAGACTAGTGGCCCGGTGCACAAAATTCGTGCACGGGGGGTGGGAGGGTGTCCCTCAGCCCGGCCTGCACCCTCTCCAATCTGGAACCCCTCAGGGGATGTCCAACTGCCAGTTTAGGACCCATCCCTGTGGAATGGGGCCTAAACCGGCAGTTGGACATCCCTCTCGCAATCTGGAACTGCTGGCTCCTAACCACTCACCTGCCTGCGTGCCTGATCACCCCTAACCACTCTACCTGATGGCCTGCTCGCCCCCAACTGCCCCCCCTTGCTGGCCTGATCACCCCCAACTGCCCCCTCCTGCCAGCCTGCTCGCCCCCAACTACCCCCCCCCACCAGCCTGCTCGCCCCCAACTGCCTCCCCCACTGGCCTGCTCACCCCCAACTGACCCCCCCCCCGCCAGCCTGCTTGCCCCCAACTGTGGTTCCCCACCCCCCCACCTCCCGCTAGCCTGCTCACCCCCAACTGTCCCCCCTGCCGGCCTGATTGCCCCAACTGTCCTCTACTGCCAGCCTGCTTGCCCTCAACTGCCCCCCCTTGCTGGCCTGTTTGCCCCCAACTGGCCCCCCCACCAGCCTGATCACCTCCAACTGCCCTTCCCTCCTAGCCTGATCACCCCTAACTGCCTCTGCCTCAGCCCCACCACCATGGCTTTGTCCAGAAGGACATCCAGAAGGTCTCCCAGTCTAATTAGCATATCACCCTTTTATTAGTATAGATAGCTGTAAACTTGCCATTTACTGGAGCATTTTTCAATCTGTTGTGATGTTGCTTTCTGGCAATTGTCATTAGTTTGGCTCAAATAAATTCTTATAAGGCATTTCCCTAGGCTGGGCATTCTTTTGTAGACAGAAGCAACAAGAGAGACAACAGGACCATTATATTAAGATAAAGGTTAATTTTGGGAGCCCTGAATGCAGGACACTTGGCTTATTGCCTTGGTCTTTGCTTTCAGACAAACTTGACAAGGTCTGGCTTTGCAGGGCCTGCCTCCATCACCAAAAATCGAGGGAGGTGAGACAGAGAACCAAGCCCCTGCGACCCAGCCTCTGGCCTTCTTTATTCTTCTCTTGCTCTCTCTATGGGTTCATCAAGCTCAAAGAGACCACGATTCGATTCCCGACTTCGAGGATGAAGAAAGTGAATGGAGTGTGGTTGAGTGACTTGCCCCAGAGACAAACTCAAGTCTCAGGGCTCCTCCCAGAGCCACCTGTGCTGGCCGAGGACAGGCTGCCTTGTGCCTCATCCCACCTTTACTTACATACACGATCACAGGACTTCAGGAACTTCGTTTGCAGGAGCCGGGTTTTGGCACTTTTGGAGGGTGGGTGGTTGTTGGTATTTTTTCCTGCTTACTAATTTCCATTTGCTACCTTTGTCCTATGGTCGCCTTCCATTTAGGGCTCTGGCATCTGATCTGGATCAGCCTCCTAGGGCCTCCCTGCCCCAGCAGTGCCGCCCCTTTTAGGGGGTGGAGGGGAGTGTTGCAGCGCAAACACAGGTGGGATAGAATGCAAAATGAACAAGACCACATTGACCAGAATGAACCTTTCACTAGTGGGTGAGGGGTACAGAGGGAACAGGGGACACTGCGTGGGCACAGACAGCAAACACATGACAGATGAAGCAGTAAGCCAGTCTCCGCAGGCTGCCTGGCCCCTTCCACCTGGACAAGGGAGCAGCGAAGTTGCCCAGGTCTCTCCTCAAGATGTCTCACCAGGGATGCAACATGTACTTACATGGGCAGCTCCACTTCCTCTGGCAGGAAGGTGGCCAGAGAGGCACCCTGGGGTTTTCTGGGTAGTGAACGCTCAGGTGGCCGCTGGCCTCTGCCCCAAGCTTCCCAGGGGACTCCCCAACCCCTTCTGCCTTCCAAGGAAAACACCCCTTCCCGGAGGCGCAGCTTGCTGAGCTCCGAGTGGGCTCTGCTAGGTGAGGTGCGGAAAAGGACTAGATGTGGGGCTTGGCACACGTGGTGTGCACCGTGCCATCTGCAGCGCTGCCTCTGAAAACATTTTCCAGTGAGAACTTAGATAATGTTTTCCAGGAGTGGGGGAGGCCATCTGCTTCCTCCTACAGAACTGGGTGCAAGGGACCTCCGCGAATGGAGAGCTTGGTCGGCCTCCTGTCGAGTTTCTGCAGCCCATCTCCTCGCCACACTGCGGCGGAGGACGGTGCTCGTGCGTGGCTTGTGGAGAGGACAGAACTGGGTGGGAGTCGCACTGTGCGTGGGGAGCGGGGGGTGGTCAGCTGCAGTCTCCCAGCCGCGAAGGGGCCGGTCAGGAGGCCTCGCGCGGGTGCGCGCCCGGCCTGGCCTCGTGCTCCTGCTCCGCGCGGACCCCGCGCCTTCCCCGGGGTCCTGCACACTCCCCACCGTCCAGGTCCTGGCGTCGCGCCGCCTGCGGCTCGGGCTGGGCGCGCTCCAGGCGCATTCCTGGCCGGGCGGCCCCTCCTCCTTCCCCCGCCTGGGGGCCGGCGCCTCCCTCCCGCGCCCCCACCGCTGGACCACGGACGCTGGTGGCCGCAGGCGCCCCAGGCGGCGCGCACCGGCTTAACTGCGCTCCCCTCCCAGGCGGCCGGCCGCGCTTCCACCGCCGGGACCCTGCGGGCTGGACGCACTGGGCATTGGCTGGATACGCTCAGCACCAGCGGGACACACTCGGCAGCAGCCGGACAGCGTCGTTCCCTCCCAGGCAGAGCGGTCCCCGCCGGCGAGATGCGACTCCCCGGCCCCCGCGCGCTCCTCCTGCTGCTGCTGCTGCTGCTGCTCGTCGCCGGCCCGGCGCAGCTCGGCGCCCAGGTCAGTGTCCCCGGACCTGGGCCGCCTCCCTGGAGGCACGGGCGGGGGGGTGGAGCGACCTGGGGCTGGACTGCTTTTCAGGGACAGGCGCCAGACCCACCCGTCCTCCCGCTGGTCACCGCGCAGCCCCTCGCCCTGGCCCTGGGGGTTCCGCAGGGGTCGGGGTACGGGAAGGTCTCCCTGGGCTATGAAACGGTGGTCTCCACCGGGTCCCCAAGAGCAGGGCCGGGTACCAGCTGGGTCAGAGTCCCCGCCCCCCCACTTCCCATCTCCGTCTGAACAGCCGCGGCGCTTCCCGGGGCCCATTCTTGCCCCATTGCCGCTGACTTTCCCACGCGCGCGGGCTCCCGGTTCACTTTCCCTCCTTGTTTGTATGCGATGGCGTCTCGCTGGGTTTATTATTGGACCAGACTCACTTTTGTATAAAGCAGTGATGTTAAGATAAGAATGCGCACACTGGAGAGGGAAATTAAGGTAAGAATGCACACAATGCAATAAACAGCAGATGATCATAGAAGTGTACACCTGAAACTCATATGTTAACCAGGTCACCCCAATAAATCGAATTAACCGATGCCACCCAATACATTTAATTTTTTAAAAAGCCCCTTCTTGTCAGCACATCTGTCCAGATAAAAATGCACCTTTCGGCCCTAGCTGGTATTGCTCAGTGGATAGAGCGTCGGCCTGCAGACTGAAGGGTCCTGGGTTCAGTGGGCTCCATCCCCAGTGCAGAAGGTGGCTGAAGGGTCTGCAGCAGGACCTCGTGGGAATGGATCAATGACTCTCTCTTATCACTGATGTTTCTATCTCTCTCTTTCTCTTTGAAATATATATATATAAATGCATCTTCCAAAGGTGGACCTGGAAGTGTTGAATTCACAGCCAGCACCACCAGGTGAGCTCTGGGTCAGAGCCCCTCCCGCTCTGTGGAGGCCCAGCTTGTGCCCCAACAATACCGCCCACAGCAATAACAGTGACGGGGAAGGAAAGCCTCCACATGCCCACTGCACCCCAATGACGTTTATAATGACTCATTGTGATAGGTTTCATGTTTATTGTCAGCCTTTCCCACTGCAGGGGCAGGCACCAGCTTCCGGTAGGAGCTCTGTGGAATGCATGGAGCGTGGGCATGCTGGTGGTGGTCCGAGCAGGACCTGGCTGGGCAGCTTCTGGGCAGACCTTGGCCGCACAGGAGGGCACCTGGGATCTTCTAGAAATCCTGATGCCTGCCTCCCCAAGAGATTCTGACTCAGTTGGTCTGGGTTGAGACTTAGGCATCTTGACTTTCCCAATTAAAAAAATTGTTCCTAGTGATTTTAATCAAGCAGGTGCCTGAAACCCAGGGAACCCCAGCTTTCAGCGTTAAAAGCTGTGGACCTAGGAAGGGGTTGAAGGCAGAAAAATTTGATTGGACAGAGGGTTGGACTCATGAGGACCTGAGGTGACTTGTGTACCTGGAGTTCACCTGATCTGAACACAGGATGAGCCACGGGCCAGACCTGTTGGCTGGTGGAGTCTCAGCAAGTTTGGAGAATGACTTGCATCCCGTGGGACCATCTCCCGCCACAGAGGAGACAGGCAGGGTGCACACAACTCAGGGACCCCTCGGGACAGGCACAGGAGCTCCTGGCAGCAGCCCACGGGCGTCTGGAGTGCCTGATCCCCGTGTGCTCACTTTGTTGTATTAGGTGACAGCCCACGGGGGACCTGGCGTGTGTATGTGTGTAGGTGCCTGTCACTGTGTGCGCACGTCTCTGTGTCTGTGTGAATGCTTGGTTGTATGTGTGATAGTGCATTTGTGCGCACCTGCGTTTGTCCGTGCTGTGCCTTTGTGTATGTGTGCGTGCATGCGTGTTACGGGGTAGAGGGGAGCTGCTTCTGCAAGGGTCTGCAGCAGGACCTTGTGGGGACAGACAGTCTCATTTGCTCTTCTCTGGATCTCCATGGCTTTCCTCTCGTGTCCTTCTTGTCAGCACATCTGTCCTGAGCCACTTTGCAGGTGACCTGCTGATGAGAACAGGTGGTTGTGGGGAAGGAGGGAGGCTGAGCAGTGTGGGGATCACACGCGTGGGTGGGGGGCCCTTTCGCAAAACTGCTGTCCACTCTGAAAGGGAGAACATTGCACAGCGCCCTGCGCTGGGCTTGGGGGTTCAGGGCCTCAGCGTGCGCCTTGGCTGGGGGTGGGTCTATGCGTTCAGAAGGCTTCCCCCTCCCCAGAGCCTCTCTTTATGATCAGATGTCACGGCTCCAAACTCCTCCACGGGAGGTTCATTCCCGGTTGCCTCCGTCCATTTGAGATGCTGCCTTTTATAGCTTAAGGGAAATGTGTGTGGTGCACATTCCACAGTTTTAACCGCAGGACGGTACTCTGTGCATGGTAACCACCACCACAGACAGGACACAGGACAGCGCCCCCCAAACCGACCTGCTTTTCACGGGACAGTTTGTCTTCCCCACGGTGTCACGTGAATGGAATCGAAGAGCGCACAGCCGTTGGTCTGGCTTCGCCCATTTAACACAACGCAGCTAAGATTCTTCCATGTTGTCCTGAGTTCCCATGGTTCTTTTACTACTGCTGAGTAGTATTCCACTGTGTGGACGCACACGGTTTTTCATGTGTTTTGTTTTTTTTTTAATGTATTTTTATTGATTTCAGAGAAGGGAAGGGAGAGGGAGAGGAAGAGGGAGAGAGAGATAGAAACAACGATGAGAGAGAATCATTGAACGGCTGCCTCCTGCAACGCCCCACACTGGGGATGGAGCCTGCAACCCTGGCATGTGCCCTCACTAGGAACCAAACCGTGACCTCCTGGTTCATAGGTTGACGCTCAACAGCTGAGCCACGCCGTCCAGGGTCAGTTTGTTGATCGATGTCCCTTCCCCCCTCCCCCGCCCCCCGAACTGAACGACACCCGTGGTGACAGTTCCCGTTTTTGGGCGATTATGAATAGGGCTGCTATGAACATTCCCACACAGCTTTTTGTGGGAATGTAAATGGTCGTTTTTCTTGGGTAAACATCTGGGAGTGGGATTGTTGAGTCATATGGCAAGTGTGTGTGTACTTCGGAAGAAACTGCCAAACCGTCTCCCCTATTAGTTGTATCATCTTCTGTTCCCACCAGCAGTGCATGAAGGAAGGCTCGGTTACTCCGCGCCCTCGCCAGCACCGAGTGCCGTCTGGTTTGTTTGCTCCGGGTCATTGGAATAACGCATCTGAGGTTTGGATTCCCATTTCCCTAAGGACTAATTACTTTGGGAAGCTTTTCGTGTTCTTATTTGTCAGATGCGTAGTCTGTTGAGTGAAGCCTTCTGCCCAATTTAAAAACAGCTTGTTTCCTTACCAAGTTTTGAGCATTCTTTGTATGTTCTAAACACAGGTCCTTCTTCAGATCTGTGAGTTACAAGCATTTTCTCCCAGTCGGTAGTTTGTCTCAGTGTCTTTGCCAGAGCAAAGGTTTTACATTTTGATGAAGTCCAGTTGATCAGTTTTTTATTTTTATGGATCACGCTTTTGGTGTCAAGCTCTTAGGAACTCTTTGCAGCATGCACCAGACCTCTTGAGACCCTGTCCTAGCTCGGCCTGGGAGTTGGGTCCATCCAGGTGTGGTGAGGCCAACAGATCAGGAGACGCCTGTCATGGAATAGGCAGTTTGTTACAGTTCCCAGGAGGAGGGGGCACGCCAGGCTGCAGGGGGGGCCACGGGCAGAGAGGGGGAGGGAAACTTCGGGAAAGGTTGAGGGAAGGAGTGGGTGAGACAGGTAATGAGCTAAGGAGGTGACGATCGGCCAGCTGGAGTGATTTCAGCAGGTCACAGTGTGGGGTGCCCTAGCTGTCTGTGCCTGACCCGGGCTGTTGGGGCGGATGGAGTGGGTGGGTGGGTGTGGGGCACTGGTGTCTCAGGAGTGTAAGGGTAGGAAAGGCAGGGGGATGGGCTGGTTTGCATGTAAAAGGTGTGCTGGGGGCAGGGAGGGTGTTCCGTTGTCCCAGGGCTCCAGCAACTGGCTGGCCTGAGTCCACAGGCCCCAGAAGCCAGGACATCAGACACAGAAACCAGACAATGTGGTTAAACAGACCCAGTCCTGGGACTGGTACTTCGCTTCCACTGCATCCTGTTGGCCAGAGCAGGTCACAAGGCCAGCCCAGATCCGAGAGGTGGGAAAACAGATTTCCCTCTCTATGGGAAAAGCGGCCGTTTCTTTGCAGATAGTGTGGGAATGGGCAGGAGGCCTGGAGCTATTGCCACAAACCTTCCATCACGGGACCCAGAGATTCACTCCCCGCAGGCCCCTGTGTTTGGACGAAAGGGTGCTGTCAGGGTGAGGGTGGGCAAAGGGAGGCCTTGCTGGTGTGATGGCTTTCCAAGCGCCTCCCCCTTTCCCGGCACCTTTAGGCAGGGCCTCGAGCCCTGTCCCCGGTGCCCTGCTGCAGAGAAGAGTGGAGGGTGTGGACCGAGAGTAGCAGCTGCGGCTTCCTGGTCTTCCTGGGTCTCTGAGTCAGGCAGGACCCAGTGCGCTCCCAGACCCACTCGCCCTGGAGGATCCTGTGGACACAAGACTGGATCCCAGGCCCACCAAGCCACTGTGGTCTGGGAGGCTGCTCCCTGCACCATGTGGACACTGTCTCCCCTCCACACGCCTGCCCAGACCTGCGTCCCGGCAGCTGCCCCAGGAGGAGACTTCCTCTCCTGACTGCTGACAGGCCTGGCTGTGCTGGTCGCTCTCATGACCCCCAGGGCAGCAGCAGGGCTGCTGACTCCTACAGATCTGTCCATGGGCTGTGCAGCCCTGGGGACACCGGGCAGACTCCCTGGGTGGTAGAACTTTCTAGATCCTTTCAGACCTTCTGCCAGCATCGTCCATGCTTCTCAGAAACTTCCTGGGACCTAAATGCAGGCCATTACATGCATTTTCATTCAAGAAGTAACAGCACCTGTCACCTGATGGGACCCAGGCCTACCCACTTCAGCACGTCCACCTGCACCTCAGGGAAGCGATGA